AGTAATGAACAAAGTGGATACATCCCTGCTCTCTGCTTTGGGAGAAAATGATGGACAGGAAGTTACCAAACAAATGAGCACCAGGCAGAGAATGACAATGAGATACTGAGTGAGTGGTGGCTGCTGGCGTTAGAGTGAAGAATGCTTTTCTGAAAACGGAATGACAAGGAATAGCTAATCATGTGAAAGGATAAAAGGGGGTGGGAAGTAAAAGGCCACATGACGTAAGTGGGGTTTCTATTGGCGACAGAATGAAGGTCAGTGTAAATGGATGTACAGGAAGGGGAAGAAGTAAGCTATCCAATCTCAATTCTTTATATCATAAGTTTTATATCCCCGTTTATGACATGTCTTTGCCTGCATTCCAATTGTGTCTCCAAATGTTGCTTCCCTCCTTTGGAAGTTTGCATGACATCTTCTGGTACCACGAACCCTAGTCCTCAGGACTCTGATCAGCAACTTCAAAGGGCCATTCTCATGCCTGGTATTGGGAGTTTTGTTAGATAGTTTGTGGCTCTTGGGGGAGCATTGTAAGTGGCTCTTGGGGGAGCACTGTCATTCCAGAGAGGAAGAGTTCATTTAAACTATGAGGAGAATAAGAGCGTGCAAGTGACTTGAAGGGAGAAACAGGGTGAGGGGGACTTTAATTGGGAAGAGATAGGGAAATAAATACAGGAGAAAGGCAGGAAGGTTAAACTAGTAGTAAAGATATTTGAGAAAGTCATAAGGCATTATATTATTGTCTATATACTTAAAATTACATAAACATTATATATAAGCATTTATATAATATATATAAACATACATGCATGATTTTACTTTTGAACACCACATGGACTCCTGATCTTGGTGACAGGCATATGTACATTGAAATTTTATTATAGTTAACAATGTAGGCAATGACAAGAATTTGTTGTTTACATAGTACTTGGTACTGTCAGTTCATCTTGACAAACAGACAAACATTTTTTTTTTCAAAATCTGTTCAGTGGCAACCATTGTGCCAGGAGTAGGACTAGCAAAGACAAAAGATGTGGTCTACACTGGAAGGACTTGTAGAACATCAGGGAGCAAGACAGAGTCAGCAATAGCCATTGATAAATGAGATAATGACTTATGAATGAACAGAGACAGTGAGATAATGAGTGCTGAGAGGAAATGACTGGTTGTGTTTGGCTGTGTGGTCCAGGCTGGAGGTGATCTTTATAGAGTATTAATATTGAATGTGATTTGATCTGAGGGTTAGACTCCACCAGTACTTCTGCAAGGACAAGAGAGAAAGCATGAAGTAGACATGAGATGTAGGCATGAATTATGAAACAACACAGTGCACATAATACTAAATGTACATTGCTTAGGAAAGGAGATGAAGACATGGTAGATATAGATAGCTGAGGCTCTCTCAATGGAGTAGGAAGTAGGAGAGAAGCATAATGTGTGGAGCAGGATACAGAATACTCTTGTGGGCATCACCACTCTGATGGTAAGAGACAGGAAGGTGAGATTTCTTTAAGCAAGAGGTAGGAGGGGCATCCAATGAGATACTGAGGAGGAGGTGATATAATTATGTCCAAATCAGGAAGTCAGTGTGCACAGAGGCTAGTGTGGGAAGGAAGAACTAAATACCCACAAGGTGTCTGGAGCATGTAAGGAGGGCACATCAAGCAGGAAGGGAATTGATGTGTGAGAACGAGAGTTTCCACCTTATTTTCAATAAATGCTCACTGTGAACTTACTGTGTATAGTGCTCCAGGCTTACTCTTGAAAACGAGGGTTCGGAAGAAACATTATCTGTTTCTTCTGTGTACAGAAAGGGAGGTAGCACTTGCCCCTAGGATCTCCCTCCACCAGGGGCTGAGCCTCCGACCCTCTTTCTGCTTCCAGAGTGGCAATTCTTCACTAATCTCATGCAGTTACACATCAATCAACTTCTTACAATGTCCCCATCCATCCAAAAACCCAATCTTTCTTATTCAGTATTGTCTATTAGTTATGGCACAGCATCACCATATTTTAATATTTCCAAGTAATATATGATGGCTTGATAAATGCTCTTGGTATAATTTTAATGTAGACAATGACTTATAAATCTTAAGTTTTACGTGTGTGGTGGGTGGGAAGAAGAGGAGTGGAAGACTAAGAGGAGGAGGAGTTGTGAAAATGTTGGTGACAGCTGTCTCTGGGCCACGAGATATTGGAAGGGTCTTTATTTCCTTCATCTTCTAACTTTTCTAAACTACAAACATGTTATACCAAAATGAATAACAAGACTACTTTTGAAAGATCTGCTTTCTCTAAGAATGAAGGGCATCACCACCTTTACCCTTACTGACATTTATAGTGAGAATAAGTTAGCATCCCAGTGGGTTCTTTCCTTTCCTTCTACCTTTGGTTTATGTTGACTATGGTGAACCTTTCCTCCACTCCAGCCCCCTTCCCTGATGCCAGAGGGAACAGCATCAGCATCATTACTCGATGAGGAATGAGTCCCCAGCCCCACCCAGGTGAACAACACCTCCATGGTTGTACCCTCTGTGTGCATCCCATCTCAAGGTGCATCTTGCTGACTTGTCTTTCTCCTGTTTTTTTTTTTTTCAGATTTTTTTATTTGAATTAGAAACAAGATCGTTTTTTATGACAATACCAGTTCCCTTCTCCCTCCTGTCCTCCCCTCCCACCACCCCCCCAACTAAAACCCTACCTATCACATATCCTTTCTGCTCCCCCTGGATGGTGAGGCCTTCCATAGGGTGTCATCAGAATCTATCGTATCCTTTGGGGTAGGGCCTAGGCCCACCCCACCCCCATGTGTCTTGGTTCAGGGAGTATTCCTTTATGTGGACTGGGCTCCCAAAGTCCACACCTATGCTAGGGATAAGTACTGAACTACTACAGGAAGTCAAGTAGATTTCCGAGGTTTCCTCACAGACACCTATGTTCCTGGGGGCTGGATCAGTCCCATGCTGGTGTCCCCGCTATCAGTCTGGGGAGCAAGAGTTCCCCGTTGTTCAGGTCAGCTATTTCTGTGGGTCTACCCAGCCTTGTCTGGACCCCTTTGCTCTTCACTTGTCCTTCTCTGCATCTGGGTTCCAGTTCAGTTCAGTGATTAGTTGTGGGTGTCTGCTTCTACTTCCACCAGCTTCTGGATGAGGGCTGTCAGGTGGCATATAAGTCAGTCATCAATGTCATTATCAGGGGAGGGCATTTAAGGTTGCCTCTTCTCTGTTGCTTAAATTGTTAGCTGGTGTCATCTTTGTAGATCTCCAGACATTTCCCTAGTGTCTGATCTCTCTGTAAACCTAAAATGTCTCCCTCTATTATGGTATCCCCATTCTTGTTATCATCTATTCTTCCCCTGACTCAACCTTTCTGCTCCCTCAAGTCCTCTGCATCCCTCCTCTTCTCCCCTTCTCATTCTCCTAGCTCCCTCCTCCGTTTTCCTGTGCTCCCAATTTGCTCAGGGGATCTTGACCCTTTCCCCTTCTCCA